TGGTGTCCTCCCATGTACTCCATTCTTGTTTAATGTTTTACTTATTGTAGATGTGTCAACAAAAATGTTAGCATGTGCCAGAGATTTCTGTAGGTCTTTAGCTGACACTCTAGGATTCTTCTTTACCTCAAGAAGCATTCTGCGCTGTGCTCTTGCAGTCATTTTTACAGGACGACCACGCCTAGGGAGAGTAGCAACATTGCTAAACTTTCTCCATTTGTAGACAGTCTGTCTTACCGTGGACACATGAACATCAAGGCATTTGGAGATACTTTTGTAACCCTTTCCAGCTTCATGCAAGTCAACAATTCTTGATCGTAGGTCTTCTGAGAGCTCTTTTCTGCGAGGCATGGTTCACATCAGACAGTGCTTCTTGAAACCAATAAACCCATAACAGGTGTGTGTTTTTAACGGGCAGGACAGCTGTCAGCAACACATCCAATATCATCACACTGATTGGAGTCAAGGTTGGCTCCCTCCTGGCTCCAATTAGCTCTTGGAGACGTCATTAGGCTAGGGGCTCACATACTTTTTCCTCCCTGCTCTGTAAATGTTTACATGTTATGTTCAATTAAACCATGGCAACATGTAATGTTTGTGCATTATTATTTTCAGCAGACTGTGTTTTTCTATTGTTGTGACTTAGATGACGTTCAGAGCACATTTTATGACCAATTCATGCAAAACTCTGTGTTATCCCAAGGGGTTCACATACTTTTTCTTGCAACTGTAATTTATAACCAAACAGATCATATAATACTGCTTTACTCTACATTAAAAATGCTACTCATAATGATAAATGGGACTGTATATATACAATGCATGGATTCTGAATGGAAGTTTATAGCCATTTGCATTTGTCTGCACATAAAACCTATACCCCATTAGCTCATACATTATTGCATGACCGTGATCAAAAGAATGACACACACACGCCTGCCAGGATCATTCATATCGATGGGGAAAAGTAAACAAGGATAATTTCCTGTTTTAATTGGCCACGAAGTCTCCCAGTTCATTCCACAATTATGAAACATCTTGATTTTTTCCTGCATGTATTTATTTTAGATTCTATCTCTTGATGATGCAAGGATTTGATGCAATGGAAAGAACCTGGAAAATAGTATTTTGTATGCAACTCCCATAATTTAAAAAAAACCTGCATGAATGCCTGTTCAGAAGTTTGTAAAGATGAGTTATTTCTATCTGACAATACCTACAACTTTTCATGAATAAGATGGACATTTCTGACAACAGTTGATGTGCTTTCAAAATTCTTAATATGCTCTCCAGATAAAAATTTGGGGACTCCTGAAATAATGTGTCATTTTCATGTAAGCCATGATGTCCTGCGTTGAATGTTACATCACAACAACTGCAGCCATAAGAGATCTAAGAGTCAGTGTGGTGTAGTGGCTATGGTGCTGGATTAGAACCACAGAGATCTGGGTTCAAATCTACCCTTAGACACAGTAGTTTAGCATAGAATTTTCAAGCCAGCTACTTTTTTCCAGTTCAGCTTATCTCATATATTTTGGGGAATAAATGAATGTCTTTTGACCTGAAGAAAAGGCATGAAATAAACATTGTACTAATTGTGATCATGAGGAAAGTAAGGCTTTCTCTTATAAAAAGCTGTATGTACATCAGGAGTCCCCTGGCCATGGCCAAGTACTGGGCCATAGCCCGTTGTAACTGGGTTGCAAAAGTGGTAGGCAATTGTGCACACAGCTCCACTTGCACCAGCAACAGGCAAGCGCAGGTCCATTTGTTTGAGTGTACAGCATGCATGCAAGAAACTATCCCCTCTTCCTCCCCCTGCTGGTCCACAAAGCTGGAAAGGTTGGAGAATACTGCTGTACCCGATGCAGTGTTATCTCTTACAGCTGCAGCTAAGAAAGTTATTTCTAGTTCCCTTTTAGATGATTTTTTTCCTTGGTGCACTGAAGCAATACCAAAAACCCCAATATATATGTTGGGTTCTTGCCTATCAATGGAAAGGTATAATAGCTATTATTAGAGTTCTACAAAAAAGCAACCTATTTTCTGAATGACTCTAAATTACTTATAAAAGAAATTGCACCCAGTGCAGTAACATATAACAGAAAATAACATTCAGCTGCATTATTAAGAGTTGAAACAAAACATTTTTCCTATTGTTATGCCACCCTTATTTTATTCTTGAAGTCTGTCAAGCTGCCATATAAGCCCCATCTCAACAGCATAGTTCGTGTAGTTGGATCTGCACCTATATGCACTATGAGGTCGCGATGGGTCGGACACGACTTCGCAACTAACAACAACAATGCATTATCTACCACTAAAAATCTTTCCTGTAAACTTTAAATGGACAAAACGGTGCGTTACAGCAGGGCTTTTCAACCTTTTCACCCATTGTACCACTTTTAGGATATGGCAATATCCGAGTACCACCAGTCGCTTAGCAAGGTGTCAAAAACTTGATGACCCCTCCCAAAAAAGACAGCTGAGCAAGACACCTGCCTGCCCACCCGGCGGCGCTCTTCCTCCTGTCCAAGGTTTTTGTTGTCCGCATTTCTGTTGAGGATTGGGGGTGGGGCGGGGGGAGTGTTTGGTTTTTATTCCCTCTGCCTGCTGGGTGCTTGCAGCAGGTTTTGGTCACTTCACATGACCCCGGGATACTGTGACCGTCATAAATATGAATCAGTTGCCAAGAATCTGAATGTAAATCACAAGACCCCGGAGATGTTGCAACATTCCAGCTGATCGGCACCTCTTCTGGGCTCAGCAGAAGCACCAGGATCAGTGCTGCTTTTCAGCTGATTGGTGCTTCTTCAGAGCTCAGCAGAAGCACCAGGATCAGCGCAGAGCTCCAGCTGGATCCTGGCGCTGATCCTGGCGCTTCCACTGAGCCCTGACAGTCCCAAAGAAGCGCCGATCAGCTGGAAAGCGTCACTGATCCTGGCGCTTCCGCTCAGCCCTGACAGCCCTGCAGCTCCAGCCGTCTCTCACTCAGGCTTGTGCGGTGCTGCCACCGGTTCAGCTCATTCCCCTCCCCCGCTACCACTTTTCTAGGATGGTCGCGTACCACCTGCCAGGTGCCAATGTACCACAGGTGGTACCCGTACCACTGGTTGAAAAGCCCTGCGTTACAGGGCAAAACCTGAGCAGGAATATGACTATTTGCGTGTACGTATGTGTGTGTGACAGAAAAGGAAAAGCACATCAGAACTAGCAGGCATTAAACCCCACACGCACTGATGACATTATCTAGTTGGCTAAGGAAACATCTGCAAACAAACGACTCAATTCAGAAAGCATCAAGAGCTTAAAAATGCCCGTAGTCCAGAGCCACAAGCAATCCAATGTCACTGCGCATGCGTAATACTCCTATACCCGTCTGGGGAATTCACGCGCCAAACGTTACCTCAACAACAACAAAAATGAAAGAGAAACTGAGCGTTCTCGGACCGCGCGCCACCACCTAAAAAAAAAAAAAAAACCCTCGCGCTGAAGTATTGCCCGCCCGTTAAAAAAAAGGCGAACGTCCTCGTTTCCGTTCTAAGGCGGAAGCGGAACTAAGGCGGGCCACGAGGAAGCGCTTCCGGTGGAAGTGGCGTGCGCCGCCACCGCCGCCGCCGCCGCCTGGGTTGGTCGTCTGTCGCAAGTTCTCTCCTTGTTCTTGGCGCTGCGTTGCGCGTCTGGCGAAGGAGCCCGAAGAGACGGGTTGCCGGCTCTGCGTGGCCGGGGGAGGTTCGCCGACGAGGCGGGGCCAGGAGGTGTTTCCTTGCGTTCCGGTAGCGGCAGCGACAGCAGCAGAAGAGCCCGGAGGGATGTGGCGGAGGCAGCGCTGATGGTTGTCGTCGCTGTGACTCGGGCACTCGAGAAGGAGTTTGGCGGCGCCTTCCGCCCGGGCTCAAGGAACCCCTTTCTGGACGCACAGGGCGGCGCGGAGGGCGACCCTCTTGCATCGCTGCGGCCGTCGCGCCTTCCCGGCGTCTTGTGGCTTCCCGTTTCCTTTCCTGGGTCATTCCGGCCGCCTCCCGAATCTGGTCCAGTCGGGTGTTTCTTTACCGAGTCCACCCGATCGATCCAGAATGGCTTCTTCTTCCGGCAACGACGACGATTTGACCATCCCACGGGCGGCGATCAATAAGATGATCAAGGAGACGCTGCCGAACGTGCGAGTGGCCAACGATGCCCGGGAGCTGGTTGTGAACTGCTGCACCGAGTTCATCCACCTCATCTCCTCCGAGGCGAACGAGATCTGCAACAAGTCGGAGAAGAAAACCATCTCTCCCGAGCATGTTATCCAAGGCAAGAACCTTCGCCCGGCCTGCTTGTTTCACACACACCCTGAAACTCCTCCTCCGCCTTGATCTTTAAGAGGATATTTTAATTTTCCTTTGTTGTGATCGTTAGAATCCATTAAGCTATAACTTTTAATGCGCCGAAAGTATGCCCTTCGTCTCCCCATCCTTTTTTCCCATTAGCCCTTATCATTTTTAATACGCTGAAAGTATGCCCTTCATCCCCCCCCAACCCTTTCCCCATTAATTAGCCCATCACTTGCATTTAAAATATACTTGCTATACTTGCCTGAGATACTCATCTGCACTTCAGTGTCTGCCTCTGCTCCCTATTAAAGCTAGTTCATTGCATATTCCATCCCTTCCGGCAACTTGGTAACAGCAGAAATAACAGGTAACAGGCAGGAGCTGTTTATCTGGAAAGTTTTGTACCTCTTTAATTGTTGTAGTGTAATTTGCATAAAAGAGGCACTTTGCAGATGTCAGCTTAATTCTAAATCAGCATATTTTAAAAAATGAAATGCCTGTGTAGAATTCTGTAGCAGTAGTAAATTTTGCAATTGGAAAAAGGGAGGCACTACTGATTTTTATGCAAGGCTGTAATATTTATTGCTTTGGGGATGATCTAAAAGAAAAAAAAAAGGCTATATGAGGCTGAACAAATATTTATGTTAAAAAAAAACAGGCATGTTTTCTATTTGAGAAGAAGGCTAATTATAATTGTTTCCTCTAACTTTCTAAAAACAGTTTTGTTCTCTTGTTCTCTTTTGTTTACCTTTTTATGAAACTTGAAGGATCCTAGTCAAAGAATGTTAATCATGGTTCTTTGCTGATTCTCACATGACAGCTTTGAGTAGATGATTAATTCTTAATTGTGTTATTAACTTTTCAAAAAGGAATGATTATGTTGGCTTCTACATTGTATTTAGTGAACAGAAGACAACAGTGAAAGTCATAACCAAGGTCTTGGTTTCATTCAGCTGGTTTTTGATAATACTACTTTCAGAATCAAGACAGGTTTGTTGCTTTAAGAATAGAAAATGAAAAAGCTGCAAAAATGAGAGTAATTCCGCTGTGCTACATCAACAGACCAGCATTTTTTTTTCCTTATAGAGATCAGCTTAATAGCATGGAAGGCTTGCAAGCAGACAGACTCTCCCATAACTGGTTCTTGGCTTTCTTATATACTTGTTTGACATCATGTTATTCTATCAAAACCATGACTTGAATAGATGACAGCCACACCTCAAGGATGATTTAGCTGATTTTCCTGCACATAGCAAACAATTGGCTTAGATGGTTTTTATGGTCTCTTCCAATTCTATAATTCTGTGGGATGCGTGTTGAAAGTTCTGTACTATTGGTATTAAATCTAATCAATATTTTATTTTAAGAAAATATTTTTTATTTATTTATCACATTTTTGAACCACCCTTCTCCCTCAAAAAATATTTTCTATAGTACACAAATTTAAAGACTGCCTTGTATAATTCACTTTGTTTACAGCTGTCAAGAAGCACAAAGAAATGCAAGACATAGAAGTTTAGACTATTAGAATCACGTAGAATGATTCTAAGGTTAGGACTTCCACAGTATCAACTTTTCCAGCTGAGACTGGTATATGGTCCCCCAAATTGAGAAATGGATAAAAACATGCACATTTCAGCATCCTGTCACAGAATGATGTGTGTATTTTGGTTAAGCTCTGGCATGTAACAAATAGTGACTGTTCAGTTTTGCTCATAGATTTGCATATACCGTAGTTACCCAAGGTTGAAACTAACATCCCATTCAATATATGCATGCCCAAGACTTAGCACACTTTGCTGGCCTGACTAGCAAAATAACTGAATTCTGATTCATCTTAACATTGTCTACCTGTTCCTCTGCAGTGATAACTCTTTGGAATTAACTTTGTCCAGGTTCTCCTGCTTGAGCAGGGGGCTGGACTAGAAGACCTCCAAGGTCCCTTCCAGCTCTGCTCTATTCTAATTCTATTCTAATAACAATGTATCTATACACAGAAGCCTTCTTACCTCAGACCCAATGTTTGCATAGGCCAAGGCCAACGTTAAACTGGCTATGTCTCTTTTCTCTTTGCCCTCCCATTTCTGGTTAAATAATATTTGGTTTTATGAGTGTTTATGTGGTTCAAAGTCCCAGGATTTCTCCCTGTTGTATTAGACCAGGCTTGTCAAACTCATGACGTCGCGTGACGTATCACAACTTTTTCCCCATTGCCGGCAATGTGGTGGGCGTGGTTTTGTCGTGATGCATCCAGCCCGTGGGCCGGCAGTTTGACATGCCTGTATTAGACTAAGCTTAAACTCATGCTTTTATGGTACACTGGGGATTCTCATTCTTTTGGCTGTGAGGGACAAGGAAAATGATGTGCAAAGAAGCAGGTAGGGAGGTACCAAATGAATGGTGCAAATAAGTATCTTAAATATTTGTTTTCCTGGACTAATCAAAGTTACTATAAATTGATCTCGTCTGGCTGCCAGTAGTTCATTAACAGAGGAACTTAACATATTTACATTTTTTGTGAGTCCTTGAACTTTCTTTTATTTTTACTTATTTACTGCATTTGGTTTAAAATGATAGGCATGACATTGCAAGCATAGAAGTTAGTGATATTTTTCTCATTCAGCAGTTGAGGGTTTTTAGTAGTTTGACAAAATGTACAATATCTCTAGCCTAATCAACCAAAAAGTATATATTTATTGGTTCTTAAACCTCTGGAAAAGTGAAACGATGCAAAATTAAAAGAAGTCATTGGGTTTTTTTAAAGAACAACAGATTCAGCCGTTAGCACATCATGAACTTTAAATGTTTCTGCACAAATTAAGAAAATATTTATTCTGGACTTGCAAAGTAGTTTCACTCTTTGATGAGGTCTATATCTTTTTTGTCAACAGTGCGGCAGCATCAAAGCAAAATTCTTGAGAAAGCCAAACCTATCTGAATAGATCATTGTATGAGAGAAGAGATAACTCTTGCTGGTATTTAGAACAATTCTAAGACTGTATTATTTTTAAAAATCACAGGAATGGGTTGGGTTCATATGAAAGATTTTTTTCCCCTTTGTTATGAATTACCCTGATGATGCAGTATGGAATCTTGTCTAATGTGGATTCAACATTGTTGATCAAATGTTATGAAATAAGCATCAAAATACCTAACCTCGCATTAGTATTGAATCTACGTATATGTCAATGTAATGAGATACAAATGATTCAATCCGTCCCAGATAAGCTTTGGATTTAATCAATATTTTGCAAAATAGAGGTAGTCTTCTTACAACTATTTGATTAGCGACCATTCACAGTTACAATGGCACTGAAAAAAGTTACAACCAGTCCTCCCACTTACAACCTTCGTAGCATCCCCATGGTCACGTGTGTTCAAAATTCAGGGGCTTGGCAACTGATATGTATTTATGACAGTTTTGGAGTCATGTAATCGCCATTTATGACCTTCCCAGCTTTATGGGAAGGAAAGGCAGTGGGTAAAAAGCTGGATTTGCTCAATGACTGCCTGATTCACTTAAACACCAGAGTAATCATTTAACAGGTGCACTGATTTGCTTAACAGCTGTGTCAAAAAAAAGGCATAAAATTGGGTGTGACTCACTTAACAATCACCTTGGTTAGCAACAGAAATTCTGGTCCCAGTTGTCGTTAGTTGAGGACTACCCATCTATAGAAATATATAAAGTGTATATATGAATAGTTATATGTGTGTGACAGTTTACTGGAGATATAATAATGATGATGATGATGATGATGATGATGTTGGAAGGGACCTTGGAGGTCATCTAGTCCAACCCCCTGCTCAGGCAGGAAACCCTATACCATTTCAGACAAATGGCTGTCCAAACTCTTCTTAAAGACTTCCAGTGTTGGAGCATTCACCGCTTCTGGAGGCAGGTTGTTCCACTGGTTAATTATTCTAACTGTCAGGAAGTTTTAAGAACAGTATAGGAAATGGACACAGTTGTTTACATAGAGATTAGCTTCAAGTGAAATATTTATGATAGATTGTACTCAGTTGGTGTGCCTTTTTATCGGTGGAAGTTGGCTCTCTCCTTATTCCTCCATTTATATCCAAAGGTTTTATATCAATAAAGGGATTTCACCCCAACTTTTTTTTGTTATTTCTTAAAAGACTATCAACATAAAGATTTTGCTTTATGACTTATAAATATTATGTGACCAATAAAAATACACTCATCGTTTTATATTCATTTGCAGACTGCTGGTTATGCTAGATTGCTATTTTTTTATCTAAAATTATTTGACTTTAATCAGTCGTGATTTTTTTTTTTATTCCTAGCATTAGAAAGCTTGGGATTTGGCTCCTATATCAGTGAGGTAAAAGAAGTCTTACAAGAATGCAAAACTGTAGCACTAAAAAGAAGAAAGGCTAATTCCCGTTTGGAAAACAGTGGCATTCCTGAAGAAGAACTCCTAAGGCAGCAACAAGAGTTATTTGCAAAAGTAAGTGGGGAAAACAATATGAACACTGCACACCGTAACATTTTTGATTAATTAATAGAAGTAATTAACATCAACATCCTGCTTTTCCTCCAGGAGCTCAAGGTACACTAGCATTTCCTTCCTCAGTTTTTCTCTGCAACAATACTTTGAAGTGCCTAGGGCACGGGTGTCAAACTCGCCGCGTCACGTGAAGTGTTGCGACGTATCGCAACTTTTTTTGCATTGCCGGGGCTTGAGTGGGCGCGGCCTTTGCATGATGCAACCGGCCCACGGGCCGGCAGTTTGACACCCCTGGCCTAGGGTAAAAAAGGGAGTTACTAGCCCAAAGTGACTCAGAGAACTTCAATGGCTGAAGGTGGAGTAGACTTTAGGTCTCCCCTAATTCCAGTCCAGCTTCTTCAGTGCATACCATTATGGCTCTGATTTTGTCTATATTTCTGTAAATAAATGTCACCTTTAATGAAAATGGATCGGCTTGCTTCAAGCTTGATAGCCTTCGAAATGCATACCTGCCAGATTGGCCAGATTTGGCTACTTGCCATTTCAAAAGACCCATTTTTTTTCCTTTCCTTCTTTTTTGCTTTCTCTTGTTGTAATCTTAGACTATGTCTTAGAAATGACTTAGGCATCTTCTGGGTAAGATCTGCTTAGTATATAATAGATGAAAATGGATATGCATAAGTAAAAGTTTAGTAGAATTTGGACTTTCAGTCTAAACAAAAATATGTAAATACTCATAGTAAGGCTATTGCATAGCTGACTTTTTCAGATATTGGAAGGAAATCTGCAAGCTTGTAATTTTCATAAAGTGAAATCTATCTCTTGTTCTAGTTTTCCACCTTGTTAATGTATCATACAAGTAAATCCTTGAGAATTTCCATTGCTAAGTGATGCAGTCGTAAAGCTCGACGTCATGTGAGTGTATCGCTTAGCAATGGCAATCCCAGCATTTTCTGTTGCTGTCGTTAACCAGATCCCATCAGATGCTAGTTGACCCACTCCCAGCCCCAAGGCCTCCCAGCTAGCCTAACCCAGCAGTGTGGTGCAAGTATTCCAAGGCCCTTTACTCTGCCAGCCTAGCTGACTTTCATCAACTTTATTCACTTTTGTACTTAGTCCACATTCATTCAGCACTTACTCCTGCTTTTCTTCAGTATTCTGTTTACACTGAAGTGGAATTCAGCTTGCTTTTATGTTTCTGTTTATATACAGTTCTCACTTCCATATGTAGAGGAGCTGGCTGAGAGGCTTTGCGGGAGCCTGGCCGGAGGGAAGGAGGTGGAGGCTCGGACAGCTGCGGCCGGTTTGGGCGCAGCGGGCATGGATCGGGCGGAAGAAGAGAAAAGGAAAAGGAGAAAGGGGGGTGGGGTGGTTGTTGCTGTAGCCGGGGAGAGACCAGGTGAAGCCGAAGAGGAGTTTGAGGGTTTTAGCTGATTCCCTCTCTCTAAAGGAGAGGGAAGGAAAAAGAGAGTGAGAGCGGAGTTTTATTGCTTCCTTCGCAGGGGGGGAATATCTTAAGTGGAGGGAGGAGAGAGAGTAGGCAGAGAGAAAGTTTGCTGGAGTGTTAGATTCAGATTTTAACAATAAAGGGAGGGAGGGAAGGGGAATTGCCATAGAGAGACCTGGGACTACGAACATTGACAGAAGGAAAGGAGAGGCTGGTCGCTGTGGTTCCGGAGACCAACGGCCACCCGAACTTTGCTTACTACTACCGGTGTGAGTGTGGACAGTGTGGGGAGCTGCCTCTGCCGGGCGAGCTGTGGCTGCGGAGCATCGGCCACCCTCGTTCACGTTCCCCGTTGCTGCCTGGAGCCGGAGAATTTTCCCACCCCTTTTGCGTCCGAAACGGCTACTATAAACTACTGACTATTACTGCCATGACTGCCTGGGGCTGCTAAGTACTGTCACGCACTGACTGTTGTGGTTGGGGCGGGTCATCTTTGTTCCTATGAACCCCTCGATGACGAGAACCTGTCATCTCTTCACTCTGCGTGAGTTCCCACTAAAAGGACATTGTTGCCAACGTTTGAGAGCGCAGCTGTGAGTGAGACTAAAGGGGGTGGGCTAGGAGGGCCTGGGCTTTGGCGGCCCTTGAGGCGGTAACTCTACACATATAATGAGTTGAACCTAAAAGGCTCTTACATACTTATAAGGTACAACTTGTAAATGGTATTTATAAGATACTTATAACATACCAAGTTAGCATTTGCATGTCTTAACATTTCTCCATTTCCCCGTCTTTGGTGAACAAAGAAGGTGCTTTTTTAGGCCTCTTTACCCACTTCCCAAACATTTGTTTTTATTTCCATCCCAATTTTCCTGTCTCTTTGGTTTATATCATGCTCCGATAACAACTGAGTCTGTCTCTTTTAATTTTTGCCATTCTTTGCTCTCTCTCTGGTAACATTCTTTGAAAATATCTTTTTTTTTCTTTCTGTATGCATAACACAATATCCTTTTGTCATCTTCAACTTTTGCAGCAGTTATTGTGTTAAACACGTCTTTCCCTCATCCACATTACCCTGCATCCTTTTTTATACTTCACATTAGATAACTTCATAACTTCTGTAGCACCCTGAAACATTAATCTTTGCTTAAGATCATATTTCATTCATTCTAATTGGAAATTATTCAGAACTCATACTGTCTTATTCTGCACTAATTTTATTCTCAATTCTTCCAGGTCTTTTTTTTTTTTTTTCCTTAGTTCCACTCTTCACGCTACTGAAAAATGATCTGTCCCACATTCAGATTACCCTTTTATTTTTCACTACTTCTCTCAATCTCATACATAATTAATTGTGCCCTTAGATTTGCATTAATACCTTTGTCATGTAAGTAATTTATATAATTGAGACAAGGTCATTGCTAAGCAGGTGCTCATCAAGCAATCACAAGTCTCATTCATCTTGGAGTGCAAATGGCCAAATCACTTCATCTGTTCTTTCTTACCTCATTCTCATCTTCCCATTCATATCATCTAATAGAATAATTGTTGACCTGGATTGCATTCATTAAGTGTGTTGTACAATTCCCTTGTAAACTCATCTCTGATTCTTCCACTATCTCCTTCCAGTGGAATATAATATGCAGCTATTCCTAATCTGTACACTTTTACTGTACTTTCATACTCACCCATGACAACCTAAATAATATCAGGTTGTACTTTCTGACATACATTTTAGCCAATACATTCATATTTAAATCTACACCTTCATTTCCTTACACATATACAACTGTTCCACAAAATCAGATCACATTCAGATTTATTACATTCTTTCACTTTTTCTTAATTTCTTTGACACACAAATATCTGTTTCTTTTATTTCCTTTTTTTAATTCGTGCTATTTGTCATTTTATATTCTAAATCACAATCTATATGTCATGGTCATTGCCATAGATACTGATATTGCGGCCTTCACATAAAACATTTAGTACCTGCTTAGAGGAAGAATGGACTGGTTTACTATCTCTAATTATATCTTTGACCCTTGAAACATTTTCTGCTGTCAATAATGGCAGTACTAGTCAATTTTGGTACAGTTTGGCCAGTAAGCCAGAAGTACAACAAAAGTCTAGTTCTGCCCCAAGCGTTCTATGAAAGCTAAAATCTCTAATCTAGAGTCTATCTTACATGCCAACATAGTTACATACAGCTCAGCAACTTCGAGGTATACATAATGTATTTATATGCAGAGAAGAGAATAGAGTAGAGTAGAATAGAATCTTTATTGTTACCTTAAATGTACATTAATCAGCATAATTAAAATGAAATTTTGTTGCATTCAGCTCTCAAAAAAATACCATTATGCATATACCCACATATACGTATACGACACACAAAACATCACAAGTCTAGTTCAAATGTATACATATACCTGGCGAAAAAAAGAATCCTGCGAATTTACAAGACGGATGGCATAAGGAACAAAGCTGTTACAGAATCTAGTAGTTCTGCTATAAATACTTTGAAACCTCCTTCTAGAGGGGAGAAACAGACCATGAAATGGGTATGTGGGGTCTTTTAACAATGCTTTGAGCTCTAAGCACATAGCACTTATAAGCAGTATCCTGAATAAGGGGAAGTGAGCTTCCTATAATCTTCTCAGCTATATGGGCCTTCTATCTGAGGCACTGCTACCACCAAACCAAACAGTGATGCAGTTTGTTAAAACGCTCTCAGGCATGCCTCTGTAAAAAGTAGCCTGGGCAGAAGGAAAAAGATGTGTTTTCTAAATTCAATGCAGGAAATGCAAACGCTGGTTTGCATGCTTCACTAAAGATAAAGTATGAAGAGACCAAGTCAGATTGTTAGTTATCTGAACCCTCATTTACTTAATACTATTGACCACAGCTGCTGCCCTGATACAAAATGGAGTATGACTATGCCAGTTCTTTCTAAAATCAACAATGATCTAAAATAAAGAATGCATTAATGTCATCTACAGGTAGACCTTGCTTAACCAACTGCCTCAGTTTGAAGTTATAATGGTAGTGAAAACATAAATTTGTGATAAATGCCCATATTTACAACCTTTGCAGTACCTCCCCCCCCTCTCTGATGTGTTTGCTATCACAGTTAGTATTCATTCTGTACTTGACCCACTTTTATTTTCCTTTTTCCCTCTTATAGAGCAAGCAATTGCCTAAGCAAACTCTTCTTGAGTTGTTTTTCTCTGCAGTGAGCTTGTTTCTAAAAAGTGCTAACCCTAAGTTAACAAACTCAGTTCTGTGACCTTAATTAGCCTGCTTGCAGCTGCTGCCTGTAACGGATAAGATTTTAATTGCTTTCACACCTTCAACTTTTGTTTATCCCAAGCAGTGTGGGGCTCAAAGAGCATGCTAGACAAACAGCAGTAGCACATTCCTTTCAATGTGTATTCTCCATTGTATGCCTGCCAACTCTTATAATCCCATTTTCTCCGATGGATATAAATAAAAACATTACTTCTCTTTCGGCTAAGTATCCCGGTGCCGGGATGAGCATTCGAAAGGAGTGAGAAGTGCCTCCCGTTTGATCCTGGTGACAACTACCTAGATAATGTTTGGGAAGTTACTGTGTGAAGACCTGATTATCCTCCCATGCCTTGCAGTAGGTTGAAAGTGGAACCCCTGTTGGATGGGGTTTTTGCTTGTATGCCTATCTTCAGGCTGGATGTGAATCTTTTTTTTATATTATTCTAATTTTTCTTTACTGTAAACCACCCAGAGTCATCAGGAGTGGGAGAGCCTCCAAACTGTAATAGATAAGTAGGTTGACAAGCAAAACAGGCTTGATATCCCAAAGTTACTGTTTTAGAGCAGGGGTCCCCAACCCCCAGTCCGTGGAGCAGTACCAGGCCGCAGCATGCCAGCAACCGGTCCGCACGAACAAGCAAAGCCCCATCCGCGGGATGCAGGCAGCACACAAAACCATGCATCCTGCGGTCCGTGGAAAAATCTCTCTCCACGGAACCGGTCCCTGCTTCCCAAAAGGTTGGGGACCTCTGTTTTAGAGGAAAAGCTTCTATCACTGCCTGGCTAAAAGTTATGTAATCCCCCCCTTCACAGCTGGTAGGCGTATAGAGATGGACGGGCAGTGCCTCAATTCATTCTAAACGTCTTGCTTTACCTTCCTAGGCTAGACAACAGCAGGCAGAGCTGGCCCAGCAGGAGTGGCTTCAGATGCAGCAAGCTGCTCAACAAGCCCAGCTTGCTGCTGCCTCTGCCAGTGCGATCAACCAGGCAGGATCTTCTCAAGATGAAGATGATGACGACGACATCTGACATGTCCCAGGCTGAGCTTTCAGTCCTCACCAAGAAATAGTTTTCCTGCACAACGAAACCAGTGACACGAATGCTTGCCTGTAACTTGTGTCTTCACCTTGGACCAGCCGTTGGTATTTTAAGGACGTCCGCTGTTGTGTGCTGTACATGTCGAAACCGTCTTTTTGAACTTTTTGAGGACTTAAGGTTCAGTATCATATCAACCTTGGATTTTTAATGGTGTTTATGGGAATTTTAGACAGCTGTCCGTCATTTATTTGATCAACAGTGTTACAATAATGTTTATAAACTATAGCAGAATTTATACAGAAACTCTACATTCACACTTGCATCTCTCTTCCCTTTTAACCATAGAATCTTGTGTAAACATTTTTAATTTGTGTTTTTGAAATAGAGCAGGCATTTAGACTGCTTTGGGGAGAAAAAGCAAAGGGTTCAGTGTACTTTGAATTCTTTGTCTTTTAAATAAGGAAAGAGATACATGGCAATAAATAACATTGCTTAATATCACCAATCTGAGAAATTATACATTTTTGCCAAACTAGAAAAATGTATGTTTAATAGCCGTTGTACAGCTACATGTTTTGTTTTTTTTTGTAATGGGGTAAAAAATAAAATTAAAAAAAAAACCCAGAACTTTATTATAATATTGATTCAGTGTTCTGAGCAAAACAGGTATTTCATTTCAAATGTTCCCCAATTTGGAGAATTAAAATGGTTCTTGTTTAAAAGCTGTTTAATTTTAACAGTAGATGGGGTTACAAGCGTGGTTTAAGCATATTAATGCACATGTTATTTGAAGGAAAAGTAAAATTTGGAAGAACAGATTTGTTTTTAATTCTGTTTGATAGGAATGCTTAATTAAATAGGACTATGAAAGCAAACATTGGAATTAATGAGCATGCTCACTGTCAAAGGAATCTTTATTTAGTTCTGATTATTAAAGTGTTGTCAGCACAATGTTAACAGTTTTTCAGGTTAGTCTACCAATAGAGAAGTTTTATCTTGTCAAACCGATGGCTTCTACGTTCAAATAGGGGACTAAATAACAATTTAATTGCAAAGTTTAGTTTGGTGGCTTGAAAGTTTAGGCTGGTCAACAAAACCTGAATGAGGAATATCTTAGGGTGAGATTTTTTTTTAGAAAAAGAGCAGTACTTAGCTATTTACAATTTGACAATATACTTGAAAAAAAAGAACCTCATATTTTTCTGGTACTTTTTTGTCGAGGAAAGGTGCAGTGTCAGGTCTTGCATATGGATACATCGAACATTTTTAAAGCGATAAGATGTTGATGGTTATAGAAATATGCAACTGAAAGGCAAAAACCATCCTATCTGCGAAGCAGAGGACTAAATACGACATGTCGAATAAAAGGCCTGACTGCAATTTAAATTTTAAGGGGCTTCTCGTGAATTAACTTGCATCATTATTTATACACTGGTTATTGAGAAATATGTTAGTTTGAATGTTAAGCTGGGGAAAAAAAAGATGGGTTCAACCTGTTAAGTATTGGGACAAGATCTAGTTGTCATGAAGGTTGATGTACCAAAGGTAGAAACACTAGGCTAATGAAACCATGTTAATGTGCAGTGTTGGCTTTTCTAATCTGTACTATGATACCCTTACTCTTCCTGTTTTAAATGAAACATTTTTTTTAAGCAAAAATATTTTCTTTTCTGATGCAGAGTTCAGGTTAATATTTTACTGCATCTGGCATGTATCATAAGTTTGAATCCTTGCAACTTTTCCTTTGGACATTCTTGTGCTTTTTCATATGCTGTATTCCTCAAGCAATAAAATTCAAATGTGTTTTTATATTTAATGCTTGAATGTTCAGCTTTTTCAGCTAATGTCACAGAGAAGCTTGACACCATTCATATTTGGAGGAATTATGCAACTTTTTTATAGCAAGGATGAAGTAACCAAAGAGATGTTCAGAAGAGGTCTTTTATTCGGGCCAGTCCTTCACTGATCATGTAATTTTCTCTTAATCACTCTTCCCCCAAATGTACAGGTAGTCCACAACGTACAATAGTTCATTTAGTGACCGTTCAAAGTTACGTCATTGGAAAAACATGATTTTTGACCATTTTTCACGCTTACGAACTTTGCAGCATCCCCATGGCGATCAAAATTCAGACAGTTGGCAACTGACTCATGACGGTTGCAGCGTCCCAGGATGATGTGATCCCCTTTTGCAACCTTCTGACAAGCAAAGTCAATGGGGAAGCCCGATTCACTTAACAACCAAGTTACTAATTTTAACAGCTGCAGTGGTTCACTTAACAACTGTGGTAGGAAAGGTTGTAAAATGGGGCAAAACTCACTTAACAAACGTCTCACTTAGCAACATAAATTTGGGGCTCAACTGTGGTCCCAAGTCAAGGACTTAACTCTAATCCCTTCTGATTGCACCCCTTGTATTTTTGTTCATCAATTTAGGTCACCGGTAAAGAACCTTGTTGCTTTCATTTGGGGAGTTTGTGAAAATATATCAATTATTTCAACATTTTAAAAACTAACTATTTTACAAGGTACTTGATGTGACCCAGCACATTCATACACAGATACTTCCTCAGCAGGAGCTTTCTATTTTGTGTAATAAGAGAAATTCCTTCTACTCCAGGGGTGTCAAATTGCCAGCCCGTGGGCCGGACGCATCACGCAGAAACCCCGCCCACCCCATTGCCAGCAATGGCAAAATTGTCCCGTGAGTTTGACATGTCTGTTCTACTCAGACATTGAATGTTTTAGAGATGGTTGGCTGTACAATGATAAATCAGTTACTTCTCCATGATTGATTCACGAATATTGGTGGAGAGAGAATTGTATTAATATTTTTATAACTTTCCAAAATTAAGCAAGCAATGCCAATTACGTTTAGTCAGCAGAAACTAAATACAGGAATCAAATTTTTCGCTTATCAGCCTTTTGGTAAGATCAAGTGCAGTATTGTTAAAAGAAGAACCAAAATACAAATTTTGCTGGCATATCTTTCAACTTCCTATGTACGTGCTCGAACAGCTATGTTATAAAAATACGTATTTCCAATAAAATATAAATTGACAAGTCCCTTAAATATAGAAATACTTTCTATAATCATTTTCCATCATTTTCATTTTCCACAAGTTTGTATTTTCTGTCAGACATCTTACTTCTGGCAGCACTCCACTTAGTTTGTCAAAAATGGTGCACAAACAGCAAATTAATTGGGAGCGCTTAATCCTACAGTACTGTTGAAACAAGAGGCAGAAACTTGGTCAAGTACCTAGATGATAGCCCAAATATAAGACCAGGATTTATTATATATCCCAAAGACAGTGAATCAATTGTGGCCAACTAAGTTCCTTTTATTAATGGGCAAGCGGGGGTGGGACAAAACTAGACAACACCTTTAACTCGAATAACACAGGTACAATGCGAGCTTTCAAGGTGTCCTGAGCTGTCTAGTACCAAATGTATGGGAGAAGAAATGAGACCTTTCCACAAAATTAGACCAGGAGTTGTCTAACCTAAGGCAGGGAACGCCATTATGATCACTGACCAGTCCAGGTTTGGGGAAGAAATATAATAGGTGAAATATATTTTAAGCCATTATTTTAGAGTTTTGCCAATTTTGTCTCGTAAAAACAACAAAAGCAGGAAAAGCAGGACAAAATAGCTGTTTAGAATTAAATTTGAAATTGGAAACTAAATCATTGGCAATTTTTATAGAGTCTTGATTACAACTAGCATTCTGGGACAAAAAAGGGCAAAGGGCAGCCTACAGCCCCCTCCCCCCCCCATGGGGATACGCACAAATGCAGAATTCAGATATCCTTTAAAACTTTTTGGAGGAATACACAGGTTCCTGCCTATAGGTAGTCCTCGACTTATGACTACAATTGAGTCCAAAAATTTATGTTGCTAAGCAAAACCATGGTTAAGTGAATGTTGCCCCATTTGATGACCGTTCTTGACACAGTTGTTAAGTGAATCACGGCACTTAAGTTTGTAACACAGTTGTTAAGTAAATCTGGCTTCCCCACTGACTTGTCAGGTGGTAAAAGGTGGTCACGTGACCCCCCCCTCCAGGACACTGCAACGGTCATAAATACAGTTGCCAAATGTTCGAATTTTGATCATGTGACCACGGGGGGGGGGAAATGCTGCAATGGTCGTAAGTGTGGGGAAAAAAGTCATAAGTCACTTTTTTCAGTGCCATTGTAAGATCAGTCACTAAACGAATGGTTGTAACCAAGGACTACCTGTACTTAAGAAGACACCAGATCTACGTAACGTAAGTATAGCTAATTGGTCAGGTATAAAAATACTTTTGTTTGTTTGTATTTGTTAGCCACGCGCCTCCCAATGAACTGGGTTCTTTGATCTATGGAACTATTGCAGATGATTTTTCAGGTCCCCTTTTTTTTAATCCTTTCATTCCAATGCCAAGTAGGAGATTGCTTTTGCATAATTCGGTTTTTTAGTTCCCATTTGGGAAGAAACTGTTTTTATATGAAGGCCAAAGAAGATCTGATGGTATCTTTTTTTTTCCTACCTTAATTTCTGCTTCCTGGAATTCCGGTTGAAAGAGGCAAATCAGTTCCCTCCTAATAAAACCAAGGGTACGGTACTCAATTTTAGGAACAGTTTAGATCTTTACAAAGGAGGCATTGGAAAAGGTATTTCCCAGTGTCTATGCACAAGTGATTGTCAGCAAGACAGGGTAATTCTTAATACTGAAATCTTTGGGCGTGAAGTTTAGTGCTTCTGGGCAAGTAGTAAGGGTTCTGGGGCTAGATTATAGTCCAGTCTTGAGGATAATTCTGCAGGACACTTTTCATAGGGAGAGAGATCCAGATAGGGCGGAGTTAAGGATGGTGCCATATTTTGCTGATAATGACTCATTCACACTAAAAAGAGGCAATTGTTTTGCAATCTTGCAAACCTCAAAATAGGTTGAGCAATAGCCTGCAAAATTGTAGGTTGTGCTGTGGCAAACAAGTCTGACAGCCTATTCATCATGCGCAAGCTACAACTGTAGCTTAGTGAGCAGTTACTTTATTGATCTGAACCTCTTAAGATTTCCTATAACAGCAAATAGTTGAAACATGGAAAGTCCCAACTATAGCTCAAGCTATATATTCAGTTGGTTCAGAATGCAGTAGCCCAGAGTTTTGTGTTAGCGTAGACTTGTGCTCATGTCACCTCTGTTGCAGGAGCTGCACTGGCTGCCAATCTGCTTCTGGATACAATTTAAGGTCTGGTTATCACTTTTAAAGCACTACATGGCTTGAGGCCATGCTGTTTGAAGGGTCACCGATCCCCCATTACATCTCTCCTGATGGACAGGAAGGCAGGGTATATTATAGATGCCATCTATCAGGGATGTAAACCTAGCAGGACCACAAAAAAAGGACCTTCTCCATAGTGGCTCCTTCCCTATGAACCATCATTCCTCCAGAGGTATGAGGTCCCCCCAATCCTGTGGCTTTTCCAAAAGGCCCTGAAGACACAGTTTTATCAGCAGGCCTGGGGACCACAAATGGAAATGGAGTCGATCAATTGATTGACCTGATCGAGTTGTTGTTGGTATGGTTTTTATATGGTGGTTTTTTTTAATGTTATAAGCCAACTGGAGTCACCTGTTGCGAGCTGGGAAGCCATATAAATCTGGCAAATCTGATTGTGCTTTACTTCAAATGAGCTACTTCCAAATATTATCTTGCTCCCAGGACTTTAAGAATGTTTCAGTTCTCTTTGCCTAAGTAACAATTCATGAGTATGTCTATGAAGGCCACCTTCATTACTCTCTACAAAAGCAAAGATTGCATGCAATAGTTAATAGATTAATCTGACTTTTTCTCTGCTTGTTTCTGTGATGGTTTCTTACCATAAAGAAAGCAATATTCTCTGAGTAAGGATGAGAAAACTGCATCTTCTACATTAAAAAAATAGTGGCATCAGCAAACTCATGGAAATTATATAATTTGCAATTCTCTCTCTCTCTCTCTCTCTCTCTCTGTATGTGTGTGTGAGAGAGAGAGAATCAAAATTGAACATTCTTGGCAACAAAGAAATGTGGAATGACTGCTCAAGACAAGAAAAATTGAAGGACAGAAAGAGGATGAATGAATTGGCTATAACTGGCTGATACTTGCCATGGATCCTAAACTAGGTTATTTTACATGGTAGTATTTTATGCTGTTTAAAGTTTTCACATTTGAAAGATACTTGTGGGAGTACATTTGTCATAAAAGGAGACGTGTTACAAAAAAGAATTAAAAAGCTGCAAAATGAGTTAATAAGAGGTTTTTTTGAAGTGTATCTACCTTCTAACTCTGGGTGACAAGTTCATCCAGTTGTTCTGCAGATTGCCCATTATTACTCAAGACACAGATCTTCAGAAGCATATATGATTTGAGATTATGTAACAGCTTTACGCAGTAAATGTCTAGCTTTACCCAGTAAATGCCGTGGCCAGTTATTTGATAAAATGGAAGGGTGCTGAAGTTTATTGTTTAATTATTTAATTGCCATTTATAGTCCCTTGTTTTCTCAAAGGAGCTCAATAATGGCACACATAACCCTTCTATCAACCTTTCAGATATTCTAATGAAAAGGAACAGGCCGATATCATCCAATAAATGTCACGCTTGATTCAACATTTGAACCTATTTCACCCCATCACTCAAAATACAGGGTCGTGCAGGATCAATTGCCCAACGTGCTAAGGCATATTGTGGTTGGATTTGCCCATCATCTGAACCCTGGTAAAAATTGCAATTACAGTGGAGACCCTGAGCCACAATCTACATCTACGGTTTGTG